CCGATGAAGCTTCCCTCTGCGCCGCCTGCGACCACCGCGTCCACCATGCCAACAAGCTCGCCAGCAAACACACTCGTTTCTCCCTCCTCCATCCTTCTTTCAAAGACTCCCCTCGCTGCGATATTTGTCAGGTACGCCAAACAATTCAGAATTCAGAATTCAGAATTCAAATCCGGATACTCTGATTGTTTACAAAAGATCTGATCTGATTCTGTAACTTTTTTATGTGAATTGAGCAGGAGAGGAGAGCGTTTCTTTTTTGCAAAGAAGATCGAGCGATTTTGTGCAGAGAATGCGACATTCCGATTCACAGTTCGAACGAACACACACAGAAGCACACTCGATTTCTTCTCACCGGAGTAAAGCTCTCGGCGACCTTATCGTGTTACGATGATTCATCTCAACAAACTCCGTCTTCCTCGAATTCAAACGGCTCGATCGAAATCGAAAGCACAAAACGCTATGATGATTCGTTCAATCAAAAAGGTGCCTCGGTTAATTTACCATTCGAATTGCAGTGTGAGCCATGAAGAAGATGCGTCAATGGAGGCGAGAAGTATTTCAGAGTATTTGATGGAAACGTTGCCCGGATGGCATGTTGATGAATTCCTTGATCCTTATGGCTTCTGTAAGTTTCTGCATGTCTTCTAATTTGGTACCTTTACTTTAAGAGATTATACTTTTTACCTTTTTAGTTTTCAAGTTTTATATTGGCAAAAAAAGTTAAAATCTATAGATTTTTCAAAAATTAATACCGTATATTTACAATTATATTTCTATTCTTATAATACAAATTTTACTTACCATAAGTTAGAAGAATATTATCATATTAAACTATAATGATGTTTAGATAAAAGAATGAATATATTAAAAAGATAATATCTATATATCAATCAACCCAACCACTTTATTATTATTATCATTATTTTTATCATTATTATTATTATTATTATAAAAATAAATGCATATGCTCCTTGTGCGGCTCAACGATGATTGTTTAAAATATTGTAAAATCTAATTTTAAAGCTATTAGTAATAAGTAAGTTTAAATATTTATTATCCAGCTAAAATACTTACAAAAATGTATTGACATCTAAATTAGCTTTATGTAGTTTTTAAAGAAAAAAATAATTCAATGCAATAATACATCTTGGAACAAAAAGTGTCTTAGCTTTTTATAAAGGAAAAATAATAATTCTTGTCGGTGTCTATTTCTGATTCTTTCGGCTTAAGTTAAAGATCTTTTTAGTATCTTTACTTTTCATAAAACATGTAAAACGAAATGCAATTGGTGAAACCTTTTTTCACGACATTGGTACATATTTGGTACTTTATTGGATAATTACAAATATTAAAAAAATTCATTTTAATATATCTGAAGCAAATTCAAACTAGTTTAATAAAAAGTATTACATAAATGTAGTTCAGATTTTTTTCCTCAAAGTCAAATGGACACTTCTAGAATCGGGTCATGGATGCCCATGACCAAATTATGGTCCCCTAAGTAATGAGCTTTTTGTCGTTCAATTTGTTTTAAAAAAATAATATATATTCTAAAGTATAAATAGATGAAAAATATTCGATTGTATAAGTTTTATAACACTTCTCATTTCGCATTCATTGACAGGTTTATGACAAGCAAGCATATTTTGCCCATTTATGGCATATGATCCTGACAGCAATGCCAATTTTGGGTTGTTCATGCATACTAAGACATGGGCATTTGTGTAAATTCACATCACCATCATCCATTAACAAGATGCTTGTAAAGGGAACTCATCGAAGATGAGGGGATCCATCAACACCAACAAATACATTTTTCTGTTCAATCTTCATCCATCAAAAGAACAACATAACCCTAAACCAACATGAAAATTGTAAAATTCCACTTTTGCACTTGTGGCTATGTTTAGCGGGGGAGGGGGGGGGGGGGGGGGTGGGGTTGTATTTCTTTTGTTGTTGGTTTTTTTATAATTACTTTTTTGTATGTTTTTGTTCGGTCAATAAATATGAAAAATATTGCATACAAAAAACATTATCGTATGTTTTTGTTCGGTCAATAAATATGAAAAATATTGCATACAAAATATGAGGTTCAAAATTAGGGATGAGCTTTTTGACCGAAAACTAAACCACAACCGGAATCGATTGGAACTATGTATGGGTATTTAGTCCGATTTTCGGTTCTCCCAATCCATCAGTTTTAGAACCGAAGACAACCTTATTCTAAATTAATTATTATCAAAGATAAATGATGATTCATACTTTATAACTTACATATATCTAATGCGTATGAATCATACATTATTACTTTTATACAAATTTAATAAAATTTAATAATGAAAATGTGAGAATTTTTTTTTTCAAAAATCAAAAAATAGTAGGCGTGGCAAATCGGGCAATCGTGTCGTGTTTTTGTTTGACACGACAAGATTTTATGTAACACGAACACGACACGACACGATGTTGTATTTTTTTAATTAACACGAAAACGAATCAATTAAAAAACAACAAACACGACACGACACGACAACGATAACAAAAAATAACAATTAGTTTTTTTATTAATACTTAATCATACATAATACGATAAACACGACAAATAAATGCTAAATCATGCCAATTTCGTGTTGAATTTTGAGCACGAACACGACACAACACGACATCGTGTTTTTTAATACTTGACATTAACACGATACAAACACCAATTCATATTTCAGTTTCGTCATAATTTCGTTTCGTGTTGTATATTTTTGTTGTGCCGTGTCATAAATTGTCACCCCTAAAAATAGACGAAAACAACAAAATTAAAACCAGATTGTATTATAATTAACATTTATGATGTAAACAACAAAAAATGAATTCTATCTAATATTTTGTTATTATAGGCTTGATGTTATGAAAACTAACCAATTAAGTGAAATGTCTACTTTAATCACTCACAAAAATGCAAGTGACGTCTCTAAACTTTACTTATTATTTCCATTGACATGAAAGTTGTGAACGTTTACAAAACGTTGAGTTGTCACCCAATTTGGCAATTTTGTGGATGTGGAATTTTAGTTTTATTCCTATTTTTCATTGTTGGCGTGGCTTTTTAGTTTTAATTTTCATCCAAATTCCAAACCATGCGTGTGAGTGTGTTTTGGGTGGGTCATCGGTGAAAGAAGATCGAATGATCGGTTTTGTATGAGTTGAAGAAGATGATAATTTGTGGGGCTTTTGTGTTGTTCGAACAAAAGCTTCACGTTGGTAGAATGGTAGGGTGAGGGTGACTAGTAGCATTAGTCAACTACTGTTTATGTTATCACGAACAGTGGTTTATGTGAAATGACATTTTTTACAATAAATTGTTAAAATAATCAACTTATATAAATTATCGTGGTAGTGTTTCTTTTTACATAAATGGTCCCTATAAAATAGTTAACTTACAAAAATTGTCCCGATAAGTATTTTACATAAATAATCCCTGTTAGTGTGTGTGTATATATATATATATATATATATATATATATATATATATATATATATATATATATACACACACAGAGAGAGAATCAAGTTCAACAACGAACTCCTTTTATAGGAGCGAACCAACGAACTGATATGAGATTTATTTGATTTGTCGATTAAATCCAAATCTTACCGGAAAACCACAATAACCTCCGATTTCTACAAAATCAACAGCATACACAACGATTAAAGTCCATATTCAAAGATTTGTCAACAAATTTGGTCAATTTGCACTGAAAGATAAACAAACAGGAAAAAAGCATGCATCAATCAAATGCATAAGATTTTTTTAAAAGAAAACTTAGTTTTTTTCCAGTTCTTAAGACGGAGAAGATCTAATAAGATGTTAATGTGGGAATGGAAATGTTATGTGGAATCTGAATGACGTCTCGGGGATGCTGAAGATAACATCTCATCCATCGTTGATTGTTTGATATAGAGTTTTTAGTGAAAATTGAAATAATGAAATCTTTTTTTAACTTTCTTATGGAGTTAATATTACCTTTGGGATCATTCTGCATAGCAATTTCATAGGATTTGGACTCGGAATGAGAATGGATGGAAACAAATTCTATTCCCGACAGCTGGAGTTCAGGTTCACTGGAAGGAGCAGCATTGGTTTTGTCCGGAATCTTAGAAGAAACAATATTATCATGTGAACCGGAATCAGTAGTTTTGGTGTCAGCATGAGTATCATCAAAAAAACACCAACACATTCTTGAGAACCGAAATCTGTAATGGTAGTTTTGCCATCAACCTCTTATTTTATGGAGAAGGAAGTAGCATTATAGTCATCTACTTCCATATAGAATAATTTATTATAAAGTAAAACTTCCTAATTATAAATGGATTGTATTAAGTTTGGGTTTAACTTTAAATATGTGAATTAGTGTATAATTGATTGTATTATGTTATGTTGTGAATTTTATGTAATAAACTGAAAATGGATTGATTAAGTTGTATATTTTATATAAATTTTATGTTAAAATATGAATAAATGTATGCATAAAAATATTAAACCGTGTATTAGTGAATTAATATGTTTATTAAACTGTGAATATGTTTTATACACGATATATTTTTTAAAGAAATCTGCAATTTAGAAAAAAGAGAATATTGAGTTTATCAAGACATAAATCTATTTTTTAATTAAAATTTTGTATATTTGGCTGCAAAAAATATAATGGTATGTATTAAAAAGAATTATCAAAGAAATGAGAACTACAATATTTGTTTTATTATGCTAGGAATTTGACCAGAAATGCCAATAAATTTAGTGTTAGTCCGGCAGTGGTCCGACGGTGGTCCGACGACTGTCCAACAACAAGTGGCAATTAGTTGTAAATTAAGGAATGTAAAGTTTCTTTAATATAATATTAATATTTGATAAGTCCAAAATGCGTTAATGAGAACATTTAAAAAAATGGTTCTTCAAGATACATTACTTATCAATAAAGAAATGGACACGTGTCACTTGATCATTGGTTTCTATATATATATATATATATATTGCTAGGTTCAAATGTTTCTCATATCTATTGTGTTTTGGAATGCATCAATAAGAATTTAGTTAAAAATAATTTATTATTTAATCAAAAAAAGATAGATATTAAATAATTTCCATAATTATATGTATATTAAATAATATATAATTATACTTTCTTTTTTATTGAAACTAATTAAATTCATCATTAATATCAGCAATAATATTCTATTAGAATAAATTGGCATCTAGTTTTTTATGTATGGATTCATATTATGTTTTTGACCTACTCACTCAAAATACAACAATAAATGTATGGATTCATCATTTATGTATGGATTCATATTATGTTTTTGGCATCTAGTTTTTTATGTATGGATTCATATTCTATCTTTATTTAATTAAATAATTATTTAATTTTACTAAAAAAAATTATTGGTGCATTGTAGCACACAATAAATGTAAGAAACACATTAACCAATATATATATATATATATATATATATATATATATATATATATATATATATATATATATATATATATATATATATATATATAGAGAGAGAGAGAGAGAGAGAGAGAGAGGTTCCGTTGAGATTAAAAATAAAATAGAAACCTTGGGATTCAACCATAGCCACATGTTTCAAGTTTGCCGCTCTAACCCTTCGGTGTAACGGTGTGACATGCCTGTTTTAATCATAAATGATTATATAGCGTCGTCCGTTCCTTTCTCCTCCACCACCATCCCCACCACCACAACCGCCACCGCCACCACCACCTCTGACACCAGCCGACCCCACCACTATCACCTTCGTCACTTATACCACCGCCATCTCTGTCACCACCATCTTTTCTGCTACCAACTGTTATAATCATATATGATTACTCAGTGTGTGAACAGACATATATGTATAATCATTTATGATAATGAATACATTGCTGCTGTCGGTACACTGGATCGTTAGAACATCAAATGATAAATGTATGGATCAAGTTAAATCTCAAGATTTTTCCTTTTAGTTTTTAATGTCAAGTGAATCGTTCCATTTATATATATATATATATATATATATATATATATATATATATATATATATATATATAATAATAATAATAAAAGACTCCTAAAACTGTCACGTGTCGCCATCATACACTACTACCTTGCCACGTGTGAATCTTCTAGCATTTTACTCACTGATTTTCCCGCCCAATTGCTAATTGATGTATTCGACCATCATACCCTATAAATCCGAAAAATCAGGTCATTAAATCAGACGATGATGTCCACCCACGTTACTTTCTCTCCATAAATCAAAATCAAAATTTAAATCCTTCCCAAAATCATGGCCTTAATTTGTGCACGATGATCCCTCTATAGTTGCAAAATGACGACATAAATGGATTAATTGTTTTTCTATGTATACGTTGATTGAAACCTAATGACTTTATTTTCTCGATCAATTGGTTAAGTAGGTTTGAATCCACAGAGGTTTGAAGAATCTTGATCCCTTCTAGACTTTTCATGTTGTCGTTTTGTTTCTTGATTCACACCTCTTTTCATTGAGGTTATCAGTTACGATTCTTTTTTACAGTAAACACATCATCAGGGCTGCGATTTGATGAAAATTGTCACAAATCGGACCAATTTTACTCACCGTTGCTTATCCTTACCAGCATCGCACCCCACCTGACTCACTACCGCCACATCATTATTCAATGGAGACTTGATTCACCGTCTTTCTTCCTTCACTGCCACAGTCGTAACATCCTTTGTTCTTAGTCTTACAACGTTATATATTTTGGTGTTTTTTACACTTTGATTTGATTTCTACAAGATAAAGGTCAAAATACTTAGGGTAAAAGCCCTAGACATTTTCTCTCGCTTTACCCAATCAA